TAGCGAATTTGAAGCCTAATCAATCCAGACTGCTTAAAGTAGTATTCAAATCTTTGAATGCACGCGGTTTAATTTTACAGAATGGACATAAATTAAAGGGTTCAGGAGTTTTTATCCGTAAGGACTTACCGTTGGCAGACCGTGTAAAAAGACGGGAAGCCGAAAAACAACTACAAATTAGGTTGGACGCTGACGAAAAGGACCTGAAAAATGTAAATTTCCGGGTTGTGAGGCTTCGACAGTGAATGATATCGAAGCCACTCTGGATGCAACACGAAGCTATTTAAATAGGTTTCGAATCTGTTACACAGATGCCTGAAAATTGCTCAATAAGCGGTCGGAACAAAGTGTACAGATTGACTCTACAAAGCCAGACATAATCGCAGTCACAGAAACCTGGCTGACACAGGATATAGATAGTATGGAACTTGATTTCGAGCGCTTAATGTTAGTAAGGGCCGACAGAATACAAAAGCGTAAAGGAGGGGGAGTAGCTTTATTCAATAGGAATGGTATCCCATTTGCCATTATCGACAGTGTATCCCATGAGAGTGGGACGTGTGAATTAGTTAGTTGCCGCCTGAAATGCAAGGGAATAAGAGCTGCTGATTGGTTTGGTCTATCGCAGTCCAAGCTGTGAGGTAAATGAAGTCCTGCCAACCAGTCTCAATACTTGGTCACAAAGTGGTCGGTGTCTAATCCCAGGGGACTTTAATGCACCTATGGTAGACTGGGAAAATCTGCGAACTGAATCGTCAGAAAATTCTTTCGAGCAGGAACTAGTTGTTGCGGTTATCACATGTGCCCTAGTGCAACATGCGAAAGAAGCGACTAGGTACAACCCGGACACCGAATCATCCTTACTAGATCTTACATTGTCTCACTATGAGGATGACGTTGAGAACCTTCATTACATGCTACCCCTAGGTAAAAGTGATCACGCAATTTTAACTTTCGACTTCCATATAACTGCCAGTCACGAGCACGCGTCAGTCCAGTCCAGACCTAACATCTGTGAAGCAAACATACCACATATCATGCACTCAGCATTGTTAGAAGATTAGAAAATAGACTCAGAGTCCTCGATTGAAAGGGCTTGTGTTAGCGGGACATAGACTGGACTAAAGCATGCCCAATGCACTATTGCTTTGGTGTCTAGAAAGTTGTACGAAGAAAAAATTGTTAAGGAATTCATAGGATGTCCCAAACACTTGTACTCATATATAAACCATAGGACAAAAAGAAGGGAAAATATTTCTGCACTATGGGGGGACGGCACTTCCGCATCATTAGCGGAGGGACGACTTTGGTAAGGCTCAAGTGTTCTCAAAATACTTTAGCAATGTATGTACCATAGAAACAGTCTTCCCGTCAGCGCGTACAAATCTCCCACACGTATACTGGATAGCGTGGCCATCAAAGAACTCGATGTCTTTAGTTTGCTAAATAAGCTTGACATAGGTAAATCCACGGGTGAATTACATCCTAGGCTACTGAAGGAATTATCTAACTTCGTTGCAAGCCCTTTAAGTACATGCTTTAACCTATCCCTTACGCAGGGTCGTTTACCCAAAGACTGGAAAAACGCCATAGTAAGTCCTGTCTTCAAAACAAGTACAAAACACAAACCTGAGAATTACCGCCTCGTTAGCCTAACTAGTGTGGTTGTTAAAATCTAAGAAAAGACTATTCGGAAGGAGCTGTTTGAGTATCTCGATAAAAACCGGATCCTTTTGGAGAAGCAGCACGGTTTCAGAATAGGTTACTCTTGTCTCACTAACGTTTTAGTGGCTCGTGAAAGCTGGTGCGTTCTTAAGGACCAAAAGCTACCTGTAGACGTCGCCTTCATTGATTTCAGTAAAGCTTTTGGCAAAGTTCCGCACAACCGGCTGTTATGTAAGTTAAGAAAAGTCGGGATTGGAGGCAATCTATTTATGTGGATAAAAGACTTCTTAGTTGGGCGTCAACAAAGAGTAAGGGTGAACTCAAAGTTATCTAGCTGGGAAACTGTGATTAGTGAAGTGCCCCAGGGTACAGTTTTGGGGCCAGCGCTATTCCTCTTGTATGTAAATGACATTCCTCGTCTCCCATCATCATCGGTCTTGCTATATGCTGACGATGTCAAGATATGGAGAACGATACGATGTAAGGATGACAGTTTAGAACTCCAAAATGACCTGAAGAAATTATCTGAATGGTCTCAAACCTGGCAGTTGCCGATAAATACTTCCAAGTGTCACAGATTGAAATCATGAGTCAGTTGAAGCTAGACCACCATTGAAAACCTGGAAGCACTGGACGGCCGTTTCGTCCTAGTATGGGACTCCTCAGCAGTGCGCATCCACGATCCCGCACCACGCGGGGCTCGAACCCAGGACCTACTGGCTTCGCGCGCGAGCACTTAACCATTAGGCCACTGAGCCGGCATCCAACGGTGTTAATGTCTAACTTCAACCAATCCACGAAGTTGCGCCACCGTACACCATTGTCTTCAGTGAGTTCCTATCTCACAACAGACCTGGTTGAACTCCACTGGTAACGGCTTCTCACTAGAACTTCGGGAGTTGGATGCCGGCTCAGTGGTCTAATGGTTAAGTGCTCGCGCGCGAAGCCAGTAGGTCCTGGGTTCGAGCCCCACGTGGTGCGGGATCGTGGATGCGCACTGCTGAGGAGTCCCATACTAGGACGAAACGGCCGTCCAGTGCTTCCAGGTTTTCCATGGTGGTCTAGCTTCAATCGACTCATGATTTCAACCTGTTAAATTTCTAAAACTCTCCACAAAACCCATTCTAATAATAATAATCAACTGCTCACTAGTGACTGACTTCAGGAAAAACTCCCGAAGTTCTAGTGAGAAGCCGTTACCAGTGGAGTTCAACCAGGTCTGTTGTGAGATAGGAACTCACTGAAGACAATGGTGTACGGTGGCGCAACTTCGTGGATTGGTTGAAGTTAGACATTAACACCGTTGGATGCCGGCTCAGTGGCCTAATGGTTAAGTGCTCGCGCGCGAAGCCAGTAGGTCCTGGGTTCGAGCCCCACGTGGTGCGGGATCGTGGATGCGCACTGCTGAGGAGTCCCATACTAGGACGAAACGGCCGTCCAGTGCTTCCAGGTTTTCAATGGTGGTCTAGCTTCAACTGACTCATGATTTCAATCTGTGAAATTTCTAAAATCTCCACAAAACCCATTCTAATACTTCCAAGTGTGTTGTGATGCATATCGGTCGTCAAGGTACAGATACATACACGATGAATAACACTGAGCTACCTGCTGTCCAGACACATAATGAATTAGGAGTCGTCGTTCGCCAAGACTTAAAGACTACTGCACACTGCCACGCAATAGCCGCCAAAAGTTTTAGAACGTTATGGTCAATACGTAGGGCTTTTAGTCATGTCGATGCTAAGACGTTTTTGACTCTGTATACAGTGTTCGTACTTCCTAAACTTGAGTGATGCGTACACGCGGCTAGCTCCTGCCTAAAAAAAGACAGTGAGCTTCTGGAAAAGGTTCAGAGAACGGCAACTGAGCTGGTTCCCGGAATAGCGGAGCTTCGTATGAAGCTCGACTGGCCTTACTTACTTACTTACTTACTTACGCCTGTTACTCCTCGTGAAGGAGCATAGGCCACTCACCAGCATTCTCCATCCAACCCTGTCCTGGGCAATCCTTTCCAGCTCCTTCCAGTTGTAATTCATCCTTTTCATATCTGCTTCTATTATCCGACGCAATGTGTTCTTTGGCCTTCCTCTTTTTCGCTTCCCTTCAGGATTCCAAGTTAGGGCTTGCCTCGTGATGCAGTTTGACGATTTGCGTAATGTATGTCCTATCCATTTCCATCGTCTTTTCCTAATTTCTTCTTCAGCTGGAAGTTGGTTTGTTCTCTCCCACAGTAGGCTATTGCTGATGGTATCCGGCCAATGGATGTTGAGTATCTTGCGTAGACAGCTATTTATAAATACTTGTACTTTCTTGATTGTGGTTGTTGTAGTTCTCCAAGTTTCAGCTCCATACAGTAGAACTGCCTTGACATTCGTATTGAAGATTCTCACTTTGATATTGGTTGAAAGTTGTTTTGAGTTCCATATGTTCTTCAATTGTAGGAATGCGACCTCTTGCTTTGCCGATCCTCGCCTTTACGTCTGCATCTGAACCTCCTTGTTCATCGATGATGCTTCCCAGGTATGTGAAGGACTCTACATCTTCCAGAAATTCGCCATCAAGAGTGATTGGATTGCTGTTCTCCGCCTTGAATTTGAGGACCTTGGTTTTCCCTTTGTGTATGCTGAGGCCTACTGATGCAGAGACTGCTGCTACACTGGCTGTCTTCATCTGCATCTGTTCGTGTGTACGTGATAGGAGGGCTAGGTCGTCTGCGAAGTCCAAATCGTCTAATTGATTCTGAGCTGCCCATTGTATTCCATGTTTTCCTTCAGATGTTGAGGTCTTCATAATCCAGTCGACCACCAGAAGAAAGAGGAAGGGAGAGAGTAAACAGCCTTGTCTTACTCCAGTCCTTACTTGGAACTTGGACTGGCCTAGCTGAAACTTTTCCCGTTGTCATATCGCAGAACTAGAGGCAACTTGACTACAGTTTTCAAATTGCTTAGTGCCGAATTCGCACCTATATGCCCTCATTTTTCTTGTCTTCCAAAACAGAGAATTTACAAGGACACTCCAAAAATGTTCATAAGCCTAGAACAAATTACTTGTCAGCTGACTATGAACTTTCCATCGAATCATCAACGAGTGGAATTCATTAACTCAGCACGTGATTGAGGCTCCATCCGTCAACTGAGGGATCACCATTGCCAGGACCAACACAAGCCATCTAGTCTCCTATCCTTTCCAAACTGAAACTGAAACCGAGACATGGATGGCGCTATTTTAAAATTGGTTGGCTTCCTGTGGGTCATCAATGTGATAGTCATAATCGCATTGACTTCAAAAACTATGTAAATTTTAGTTCTACTAATAATCACCTGGTGTTTAATAAAATGTTTCGAAATGTTGGGCGTTTATTTCGATACTCTCTTGACAGAAGATGTAAGTAATACATAAAGGATTTATTTCAATTACTTAAGTAATTTTCGGCGATACTATAATTTATGGATGGACCAATCAGGTATAAGATAACAAGTCTCAGATTTTGGAGCGAAGTTCACTCACCCATCTGGCTAAATAGAGTTTTGGCATTGTAGCCGATGTCAGTTCATGATGATGACCCTAGACCTAAGCCCTAACATTAACCATCAACTCTAAACCATAATTCTACTTGCTAACACTAATTTATAACCCTCATTCGGTGGACACTCTCAAAGTTAGTTCAACGTCACTCAGAAGTCGTCCATAGGTTATATCTTTGCAAGAATGGCAAAGCCTTGCACTAACACATTGTGACGAGCCATCAAGAGGAGCCAAGATGTTTATGTGCCTGAAATGAGACTGGTGAAGGTGGTGTATGAGACGAGATTTATCTCCGTATAACAAAAGGTGACTGCTTGGGGTTTGGGTGATAAATGTGTCAGGTTTTCACCTAACATTTCTTTATATTTTCCTAAATTAGGTCCTAGAGACCGTGCAGTTTAGTGGTTTGAAATATCACTGGACATGATTCAAATTAAAATCCGGTAACAATTCTCCAGTCTTTCATTCGTCACTAAGATCAAGATACAAACTACTAAATGGAATGTCTTACTGGGACTGTATTGTTTGTTGCATACCGTTTCTTCATTTTTTGTGTTTTTCTGTATGGTGCGTTTCTTATATCACGTCTTCATTGTGTTAACATTTTCCATCTGGATGATTATATACATTCTGCCATGATCCCTTTGTCCCTTGTTACCTACTTTTTGTAGTCTTCACAAAAAACTGCTTTTAAAACCCAAGTGGCTTTAAATTATTTTTGTGTGTGCTCGGTACATATTCTTGCAATTGCAGAAAGTTTTCTCGCAATTTCTTAGGCCTTATTGTGTCCAATTTTTCATAATAAAGGGTGCTGTCTTTTAATTATTTCGTAAGCAAGTAGTTCAGGAAATACACTTTGTTTGTTACTTCAAACTATTAATTAACGTGTTACCATTACTTGGTTTTTCCTAGCATGACATTTACAGAATATTGAAACACTGCTGTGGCAAAGTGTTTTTTCTCTGCTGTAAACTCAGCTGGAATGAGTTATTACACTATACTTTCATCAATAGTTATTGTTAATGATGTTATTACTGTTATTATTACTATTGCCATTACGTCATTATTATTACTATTATCACAGCAACTTATGATAATTAGTAGTATTTGAATTATAGTACAAGCTAGGATTCCCAGAAATAACGCAATCGGATCAAAAAGGACTAGATAAGCACGAAACAGTGAAGCAGTGAAACATGGCCGTAAGAGTAGAGGATATTCGTAGGTTAATAGTATTTGATCATAGGTGTCTTCGAAATATTGCTCGTATATCCTGGGACCATCGAGTAAGTAATACAGTTGTTAGGAAACGGGTACTAGGTAAGGATGGCAAATCAATTGATGAAGTAGTGAAACTTCATCAGTTGAGATGGCTGGGACACGTGTTACGTATGCCCAACGAGCGACTGCCTCGACGTGCGATGTTCAGTGGTATAGGAGTAGGGTGGAAGAAAGCTAGGGATGGCCAGACCAAAACATGGCACAAGTCCATGAAGTCACTGACAAGTGGTCTGAGTCATGTCGGTAGGTGTAGACTACCTGGTTGGGGACCGCGAGATGATAGCAACCGATGGTTAGAGACCCTGAATGACATGGCTCAAAATCGTTTGCAATGGCGCAGGTGCATACAATCTTTGTGTTCTCCCAAATTTTGATCTCATTCCTCCTTGTCTCTTTTTTTTCTCTTCCCAAATTTATTTCACTGTATTATACTCTTTAAATAACATCTCCAAACACTAATTTTCCTGATTACTGCTTATACTCTTATTACCTCTACCACTACGGGATTTGAATCGACCACTGCATCTCTGTGCTAATGTGGTGTGGCAACTCGAACTGATGTACGTACGTACGAAGTTCTACGTTGTTACTGACTGACTGCCTGAGATAAGCACGAACGAATGTACTGTATTTGGAATTCGAAATCAAGCATTCAAGAAGTACAAAGGAATTGTTATTTCATACAAACACCACACAACTATAACATAACGCTCGCGATATTGTGCTAACTATTTTGCATACGATTTTATCTTATTGATTACAACTCATCACCTTAATCAGGACTTGATTCTTCTCATCCTTTATGTATGACATTTTCTTGGCATTACCAATGACGTTTTGTCAGTAATTTTTACTATCTATGACTCGATTGGCGTGAAGTTTTCCATTTTCGCTTCGTAACATATGTTAATTCAGCTTTAATATTTTGCCTATCGTAACACAAAAATGAAAGCTTTGGGTATATAATTGCAGAGCCTGATGGAGAAGTTACCGAAAACAATCGTTCGCACTAATGCTCTTTGTTTTTAAATATTCTGTAGGGATTTTTAAGTCATTAATGTTTTGAAGTTTTCTTACAACTGTCTTAGCTTCATTGTGATATATACACACGACGACCATCCGTGTTTTTTCTACAGTTCTACAACGTTAACTTTGCTCATGACTACGTCTTTTCTAAACCTATTATTCAATTACAGTATTCAATAAATGATTCAGTTCATTAATTTCTTAAAAGCTTATAATGTTATGTGTTAGCCGTCGTTCATAATGATATTTTATGGGATTACAACTTATTCTGTTGTTAATCATGTTCATTATCTAGGTTCAAATTTAGTAGATGTGGATTCAAATAAAGTGTACGATGAGTTGCTGAAGAAATCATACTTACTACCTGAAAATGGGCATAATGTTGTGATTATTCAACCACGTAAGTTGCATGTTGTTTCTTTGTTTAAATTTTGATTTTTTTTGGTTCCATTTAGTTATATTCGATATTTGTAAACACTAATTCAGCGAGACCGACTCCGGTTTCGTATTTGAGTTTTTATGTTAGAACATTCAGGAAACTTCATGTTGTCCACTAAGATTAGAACCTATGTCATTCAGTACTGTTGTCAAGCTAGATCAACAAAATTTTGTTAATATTAAGAAATCTCAGCGACTAAAGTGGTCTTTAAAGTCACGTTGTTAGTTTTTCATGATGATTTTTCATATAGACGGGAATTATATCATACCCTGATATGCTCGTCAAACAAGTCCTATAACTAACACTATGTGAATAGTAATAACTCAGAAAATAAGCTGAATTTTCTGTCATACTCTTGGTATACTATTAAAGGAATTGCTAGTGGACAGGACTTTCGACTTACATAAACATAGTAAACGGAAATACCAGCTTTCAAAAAGATTATGTCCCTACACTTTTCGAGATTAGTTATCATGTAATTCATTTTTCATGGTCTTTGCTGAGGGCTATGCATTTTTTAGGAGAAAATCAATCGAAAGGTCTATTAATAGCCGACCAAGAATGGTAAATCGTATAATAATAGTTCATAGGTCAAAATAAGGCTCATAATAAGAGGGACATGAATATGTATAGTTTAGTTACATAACAATTATACGATAAAAATATACGCATGGTATTGGTCCATAAATGGATCTCAAAGTTACCATTCATTATGCTTATCGGGACATAACACATAAAGACCCTGCAACCCCTCAAGCAGTTTAAATTGATTAGTCACTTTACTCTGGTTAACACTTCTTTAGCGAGATTCTTTTTTTGGTTAAGTTGTTCTGTTGATAGTGTGCTGGTAGGTATCACCATTCTCTTCTGTGTTGATGTACTGCTTCCAGAATTATTCTCCATACTCAAGCTGTGTAACCATCTAACTGGCTCATCTAAGTAGGCATGGGGCTTAAGCCTACCGATGTCTCCAGTTATTTCTGTCATCTACAAATCGGATTGTTGACAGCTTAATCTGTCTATGTGATCAGATTCTCAAAAATTAAATCTCCTGGTCAGGTCTTAATTAATTGGAGAATTAGTGATCTACAAGCTGATTTACCCCAATTGCCTATGACAGAATATTTGGTTGATAGTTATTCCTTAGGTCAAACACTACGATTCTGTTGTCATGAGCAATACTCACTCAATATTTGACTTTTTCTTCTACTTGGTATATATACATTTCACTCATTCTTTTTTAAGTTTTGTTCTTTCCTACATAAGTGGATATTTTTTGGTAGTAAATAGCAGCCTACATTGTTAACTGCAGGTCTACCTTTCCCAATGCTTGTTCCACTTCCCAAATCACTTGATATCAGCCTAGTTCTTCCTAACCTATCTCGGTGATCTAAAGTTACCGGTTAATTATGCTTACCTTTTTCGGTTCATCCGTAAAATACTCTGAATGAATCCAGTTTAAAATATGAACTAAATACGGAGCTTCCTTTTTCTTTCCTCGTTTTTAAGGAAAAAAATATCAGCGAGACTATAATTTATGAATGAACCAGTCAGATATAAGATAACAGGTCTCGGATTTTGGCGCGAAATTCATTTATCCGTTTGGATAAACAGAGTTTTGACAATATAGCTGATGTCAGTTCGTGATGAAAACCCGAAATCTAACTCCTAACCTTAATCATCAACTGTAAATTCTAATTCCCCACACAGCTTTATAACCCCCATTTGGTCTTGGTTATTAAGTGGACACTCTCAAGGTCAATCTGGCGTCGCTCAAAGGTCGTCCATAAATTATGGTCTCACCAAAAATATCAGTACCAGAAGTTTATAGTTTCAGACTGTTAGGATGCACTTCAGTCACATGTATAGCGATTCGTGTGTCATCTGAAGTTACGTTTTGTACTGTAGAAGCATTCAAAACAGCGTGCATAAACTCTGAAAAGTAAGGAAACTATTAAAAAAACAAGAGCCAAAAACTCAGTGAGCTCATAGGATGTACTTAATGCACTTAATAATGACCAGGATCGGCAATAACATGTTAAATCAAGACAATTCGACACTAGGAACTGGCGTTGTATTTTGAATCCGTTGCAACATGGTCCCAAACAAGTTAAATCAATATAAAAGCTGACAGAATTATGTATTCATTATTCACTACTGTTTATTCAGTACAAAGAATCCTCAGCACAAAAGTATAAAATATTGCAACAAACTTCTATTACTCTAAATTCCATGGCATCCAAGGTTTTCTCTAAATATTGACTTTCCATCACAAATGTTTCCGGTTAGTTACATTATAACTTAGCATGTACAGGGGTGTGACTAGTAAGTTGGTCCCCTCAGACAACCAATAGCATCTGCAGCGATTCTGCCCCCTCACAACGAAAAGAAGAGGTTAAGAAAGGTTGGTGCTAGAAATGTCACACTTCACAACTCCAGCCGAATTGATAGCACATTTAGTAATTATGGATTTTAATAAACTCACTGGAAAAGACATGGTAATTTTACTTGTTAAGTACCAACACTATTCCATAGATCATCTGAATCTGTAAAATACTGCTAAGCATCAAACATTTCTTTTAGGTAAGCAAACAGTGATGCATATGTAATAGTGATCTGAAGATTCTGGGTTTAGTTATGAAAGGAGACTTAAGATACACAATATCAGTCAGTCAGTCAGTAACAACGTAGAACTTCGTACGTATGTACATCAGTTCGAGTTGCCACACCACATTAGCACAGAGATGCAGTGGTCGATTCAAATCCCGTAGTGGTAGAGGTAATAAGAGTATAAGCAGTAATCGGGAAAATTAGTGTTTGGAGATGTTATTTAAAGAGTATAATACAGTGAAATAAATTTGGAAAGAGAAAAAAAAGAGACAAGGAGGAATGAGATCAAAATTTGGGAGAACACAAAGATTGTATGCACCTGCGCCATTGCAAACGATTTTGAGCCATGTCATTCAGGGTCTCTAACCATCGGTTGCTATCATCTCGCGGTCCCCAACCAGGTAGTCTACACCTACCAACATGACTCAGACCACTTGTCAGTGACTTCATGGACTTGTGCCATGTTTTGGTCTGGCCGTCCCTAGCTTTCTTCCAACCTACTCCTATACCACTGAACATCGCACGTCGAGGCAGTCGGTCGTTGGGCATACGTAACACGTGTCCCAGCCATCTCAACTGATGAAGTTTCACTACTTCATCAATTGATTTGCCATCCTTACCTAGTACCCGTTTCCTAACAACTGTATTACTTACTCGATGGTCCCAGGATATACGAGCAATATTTCGAAGACACCTATGATCAAATACTAGTAACCTACGAATATCCTCTACTCTTACCGGCCATGTTTCACTGCCATAAAGTAGGACGGAACGAACTGCTGCGCAGTAAACACGTCCTTTGGTTGATAGACGGATATCTCGCCTACGCCATAAATGACGCAAGTTGGTAAAAGCTAGTCGAGCCTTCTGTATCCGTGCTGAGATTTCGTCACACACCAGACCACAAGGGCTGATGAGACTTCCAAGATAAGTGAAGTGATCGACACACTCAACTACTTCACTCCCTATCATTAGTTCGGGTGTCAATGCAACCCAATCCTGAAGCAACATTTTGCATTTCGAGGGAGAGAATCGCATCCCGAACATGCTTGCATTGTTGCTTAGAGTGGTCAGAAGACTCTGCATTTTGTCAGCGTCTTCACCAAATAAAACTATGTCATCAGCATATTCTAAGTCAACAAGTGAACCTCCTGGTAGAAGTTCAACCCCTGGAAATTTAGATGAGGAGAGTGTTATCTCTAAAAGTACGTCAACGACAAAGTTGAACAAGAATGGAGAGAGTGGACAGCCCTGACGAACACCACTTGAGGTAATCAATTCTGATGACAGTTCGCCATAAGCTCTCACTCGACCAGTTGTGTTCGAGTAGAGAGCCTTTATAAGGTTAATGTACTTCTTTGGTACTCCTTTCAGTGACAAACACTGCCATAGAACCTCACGATCAACAGAGTCGAATGCCGCCTTAAGGTCGAGAAATACTACCATTGTGGGGCGTCTGAATGTGTGTCTGTGTTCTAGAACCTGACGTAGTGTGAATATCTGATCTATACAACCACGTCCAGGTCGAAAACCAGCCTGGTTTTCTCTAATCTGCTCTTCACGAGCTTTGTTAGGCGTCGAAGTATTATTGAAGCTAATATTTTAGACACTATATTAGTCAAACTGATTCCTCTGTGATTGTCACAAGAGGACTTTTGTCCTTTCTTATAGACTGGCACAATCAGTGATTGAGACCAGTCAGATGGGATTACGTCCAGTTCCCAAATTCTACCTAAGACCTCAGTTAATCTCATTGCTAATACTGGACCACCATCCTTAAAAATCTCAGGAGTAAACCTGTCAGGGCCTGCTGCTCTCCCTCGTTTCAGATTTCCTATGGCTTTTTCAACTTCGTAAAGAGAGGAGGACCTACATTAACTTGCCATTCAGGTTGACTGGAGATCGTGGGAAACCGAAGTGTGGCTGAAGGCCAGTTGAACTGATCCCTAAAGTGTTCTGCCCATCGATCCAATCTCCTGGATTGAGAATGAATAATATGTCCATCTTTCTCTGAGATTGTTTCGCTAACGGTCGGGTTCCTAATTCCGGTTTCCTTAACGAGTCTGAACAATTGTCTGCTATTACCTATTGCCGCTGCCTTTTCCATCTCTCTTGCTTTCGCTACCCACCACTGTTCGCGATCATTGCGTAGACTTCTTGTCAGCTTGCGCTTAAGCTGACTCCGCTCTTCATTATGTTCAGAGCCAGGTGGAATGAGTTTCCGAGCATCTATCAGTGCGATAGATGCTGCTGAGATCCAGTGTTGCTCCCTAACCTTCTGGTTTACCTTACTAGCAGATATCACTGCTGTTTCCACAGCTTTTCGGATATCATTCCATGCTGCATCGGGGTGGGCATCACATACATGGCTGCCTAACTGTTTTCCTAGTTGTTCCTGAAATATACTCTTAGCTTGACTATCATTAAGTAGGCCCTAAGAGGTTTCCTTGCAGCGTCTTTCCTACGTCCAGTAAGACGCAAGCAAATACGCGCTCGCACTAGAGCATGATCTGAATCTAGGCATGTGCTCCAGAATGAGCGACAGTCTTCTATCGAGCCCCTCCATCGGTGGCTGATAGCGATGTGATCTATTTGGGTCCAACGTTGGGACGAATTAGGGGGTCGCCATGTTAAAAGATGTTTTTCCTTATGCTTAAAGTTAGTATTTGCAAGGAACAGGCGGTTATCTGAGCATAGCTGCAACAGACGGTCGCCATTATCTGTTCTTTGAGCCACGACACCATAAGATCCACCTAGGTGTCTTTCCCTATCGCTTAGTTTACCTACTTGAGCATTAAAGTCACCGGCCACTATTACTACATCCGAGCGCTTAGCTTTTCGGAGAAGGTCCGAAAGCTTTCTGTAAAACTCATCTTTTACATCATCTGAGCTGCAGTCAGTGGGAGAATAGGCAGAGACGACGAAGAGGCAACGACGAGTGTCCCTATCTTTCCGGATTCTTACTGTTCCGTTCAGTCGGACAGCGCACAAACGACTGTCTACTGGGATCCACTCTAAGAGAGCTAGTTCTGCCCTAGGACTCAATGCTATACCTACGCCGGCGAGGCCACGGGAAGCAGAATCAGGGCTTCCAGATACACGAAGCGTAAATCGAGTCGGTTCTTTATTTTGGCATGGTGAGGTCAAATGAATGACGCTACTTGGATCCTGTATGCGCGTTTCGGAGACGCAGCACACATCGATGGCGCGAGATTCTAAAGTTTTAGCTAAGGAAGCCTGCTGTCCTATTTGGCAAAGTGTTCGTACGTTAAAAGCTCCTACGTGTAGTTTAGAGCGTGGTTTCAGGAGACCAGGAATGGCGTTCCACGTACTCGAATCGTTTGCCCTAGCGGTGCGAGGTGATAAAGAGACGTGAGGAGGGTTAGTCATGGAGATAAGAGAGGTATTAGGAGGTGTAGGAAGGATTTGAATGTGACCACCTTGGTCTCTTGTGCTGTTACGGGTATGAGGGCTGATGTCACTTCCCGGCTGCCCACACCGTGGAAGGGTATTTCTTGAGGAACCTGAAAAGGAAATTGGATTAGTGTTGGTCTTGACGACCTGGGAGCGTGACCGCAGAGCCCAAGGGACAACTGCTTGAGGCCGGTCGCGCACGGCCTTTTTGTGGAAGGTTTTTGACGTGTTAGCTCCGTTCTTCAAAGGGCCTTACCGCCGGAGACGGAAATCCGTGAGGTAAGGTGAGGTGTGACATTTTTAGGGTCGACCTTTTCTAACCCCACCCCTCCTTGTGGGAAGGCAGCATCGCTGTCATGCTGGTTGTCCGAAGGAAACACCTTACTGCTGTCACAGCCCTCTACAGTCAGCAGTACGACTTCGCCCTCAGACCTTGAGTTGCTGCTTTTAGTCTTACCGTTCTCCAATCGACCTGCCTGGCATGGTAGAACCTACAGGAACATATGTTCCAGCCAATATAGCTCGGTTGGGTCATCATGATAGGCAAGCCCGACCACCACGTCAAGGTAACAGCTTCTGTCGGGAGATACACAATATATATCTATATAATATTATTATAGATATACAATATTATAGAGTTTTAAACAAAAACAAATTAGTTGTCTATTAAGTAGTTTTTCTTTTAATATCATTTATTAATAGGAACTTATCAAATTGTTTAATGTTTACATTAAAGATTTAAAAGGTGTATTTTACACTAGGATCAACAACAGCCTATCATACTCACCTAAAAATGATCCCAATGTAGACGAAGCTATCGCTCTTGTGGATTCATTAGGATTTTGGACTACCGTTGGTGTGGTAAGTGTAATTATTAGTTCATTAAAGTCTAATATTGATCATAAATGTTCTAGGTTGAATACTGCATTACTGATGTAAAGAAAACATTTTATTCCATCTAGTTATTCGTTTTAATCTTTAATATATCCTGCGGCATTTCATGAAAAGATCCTCAAGATCAGCTAATAAAAATAGGTGAATAAAGTAAAGATAACTAGAATTTTACTGCGATGTAAACAGGTTGTTATGTAGCATTTCTCTTCGTGTTGACCACAAAATTATTGAATCAAGAAGTCTCATCTGATCATATTCAGGCTCATATTCATCTTCAATAGGCTGTTTTAACATTGTTTAAAATTTCATTACTTTAGTTCCAGAGATAATTATTTGTTCTAGTATTCTACTTTTGTATAAAAGGCTCTTCCAACTACTTATAAGAGCACTTAGCATGTTAACTGTGTATGTAGAACTAATGATCACGAATACATGTTGTCTTCTAGGCATGTATACAAGATCTTAATGTGGTAATTTGTGAATCGCTATATGTAAGAACCCTAAAGCACATAGCATAAGTTATATTAATGTAAAGAGCTAAGGGTTTCGTAAGTAACCTAATGTTCGCTAGTGATATTATGAAGGGTTCATCATATCTCTCCAGATTTTAATAGCTTCTCATACTCAGATTGATTTGTTGGGTAACTGGCATCATTGATGTCGGCAATCCCTTTCTGCGTTCTTAAGAGCCTGTTTCATTAGGATGTAATCCATATAATTGTAGCTGACTGATTAAATCCATATCGCTGTTGTTTATAATATTAAGTTTAGCAGTTGTGTGATCGAAATAGATTAGAATTGTCCTGTTTATGCTGCGCATAACTGGTTAATGGGATTGTTGGTCGAAAGTAATACATAGGTGTAATGTGATCACATGACTCAAGTTCTTGGTACCTGTGTGGTTTTCTTGCAAGTTGAAACTGTTTTGTTCAGCTTGTAGAGAGACAAAATAATGTTTGGTTCTCCTAAAAACCAGTATAATAATAAATTACCTTTCTTTGGAGTGTGTATATAGATGTGAACAAATGGGTTAATCCTTTCATTAGTCTCATATATGAGCCTGTTTACGTCTAAACCCATACCTTAAAACTGTAAAACCGCGAATAGTTCACCAAACCAATTATACTTCCTTATATTGTAAACATTGAGTTGATAAATGCAGTAGTTCTCTAGAAATAACACATTCTTTTATGTCCTGAGCGTCATGAGAATAGGTGGGTTTTGTAGAACAGAGCCAATATGGTTGTACTTTTGGTAAATGAGTTGTGTAATAATAATAACAATATTATCATTACTATTATTATTATCATTATCATTAGGATTATATGGTAATTCGGTTGTTTATCTCTGATTCCACTAATATAAGCGTTTACAACATAGGTAACACATTTCTAAATTAACTGCTAGTCTAGCTTCCAACAAGCGATTGCTGTATAGTCAAATTCCTATTCTACTCTATTTCTGTTAGTTTTGTGACTAACCTAATGACGAAAAATTAATACTAGCTTACATATAATATTGTTTGTTTTGGAATATTTCATATAGAGAGATAATATTGACTTGAAAGTTGATGTTTTCTTTCGGCAAATTTAATTCAATATTAGATCGTTAAAGTTTCATCTTGTTAAAGTAGCAGGTGTCACAGTAATTATTTCAATGGGTTCTCAATTAGACTACAAATATTACATCTTAAACCAAACTTTGAGAGATATAAGTATCATAAAAAATGTAAGATTCAATAGTCAGTCAGTCAGCTACAACGTAAGATCAGGCATATATATGCATCAGTCCAAGTTGCGACACCTCATTAGTACAACAAGATGATCGCCAAATTCATAGTAGTTACTTTAATGGTAGTAATATATAAAAGGAAGACAAAGAATGTATGCACTTACGTCATTGTGATCGATTCTGAGTCATGCCACCCAGAGTCTCCAACCATTGGTTACGATAGTCGGGAGGACTCTAATCAAGTAGTCTGCATCTACCAACATAGCTCAAACCAGAAGTTAGTGACTTTATGGACTGTTTATTGAAAACAGTCCTCCAATATCCTCGTTAATTAAACTCACTGTTCTAAAGGAACTGTTTGGCTATCAATATGAATAATCTAATGAGTCCATCTAATGTAATGACAAACAACTGAGCTTCCTAATGATCAGTCAAGATGATAGTGTTCAACAACTTCTTTACCATATTAATGTTACAACATGAAAAATCAGTTGGATCCGATCTGAATTTATTTCACTATTCCTGAAAGAATATGTGAAGTTATCCGTTCTTATGCAAAATATGTAAATCATTTGTATTTTCTCTGAGTTTTTCTCAGTCGCTAATTAATTATCCAAAGTTTTTGAGAAAACAGTAGAAGTACGTAGAGTAACATTTGTGGTTTTTATACATTCATTGACCATTTAATATTACTCTTGTTTTCTCCTTCAAACAATAAACATTAATTAAATTAATTACTGTAAAAATTTGACACAATATTGCATAGATTTCCTGTTTTAAAACAATTATTTTTAATAGTACAATGATAAAATGTTTATGTAACTCATTTGCTAAATACATAGGGTTATTTACTCAGTTTTAGGTCATACTGTTTTATGTGAGGGTTACTAATTCTACTTAGGCTGCCTAATAAGCTAGTTTCGAAAATATTACTTATTAGTTAAAAGCTTAGTGCTTTAAGCACTTAGTCACAGCTCTCACGTTGATTTGGTCAGCTGGGGGGGTGGTGGTGACCGACATAGTACCATTGACCTTCAAATAAAACTTTTTAGTTTATTAACCTTTAATTAGTAAAGAAAGATAGTGGGAGACAAATTCAGTAAACCGCTTAGATTTTGTGAATAAGTAGAATTGTCATCAAAGTTGTTTACTAAGCTTTTTTCCCATCAATAAGTCGAAATGACCAATCTAAGTTACTATGACACAGGAACTCCACCATCTAGACGTTTTTTTTCTAGGACTTGTCCTTTACAACGGGCAACTCGTGCTTGTTCCAAATTTTTTTATTAATTGAGCAAAACTACCGATCTTATCATCATTGATATCATTACTACTACATATCTTAGTGTCTTGTCTTTAGCAATGATCTGGATAAGAAAATACTTATTTCTGCTGTAATCACCCCAGTGTCATGTCCAGTTAGGGAGTAGAGTAGAATAGCCTAAGGATTTTTTATAGCTAGCACAATAATTTTCATTTTTTAAATCACGAGGGTGGATGTCAGAATTTTTTGTCTTTTTGATGTGATAGTAAAAAAAATAAACTAAATTTCTTGCTAGTTATTTTTAGGGCCCGTTTAGTCCAACCGTTATACAGTAAAGCAGTTATGTCGCTCTAGTTAATTGGTTCGCTTAGACTGTCTATCTAGTGTCAATCGACGGCTAACCAGTGACACGACAATGGTGAGATAACAAACGACAATAACACTAAATGACTATTGGTACGAATTGTAGTTTTCCATTCCCTCTCTGATTATACAGTTGAATGTGTGAGTCACTCATACAGTAATATAGCGTAAAATCCTGGCCATGTGTCAATATAATTGAGGGATTGCAATGTCCGCATAACTACGCCGTAAGTGGGAGAGGACTGAGTAATAGGTCCGTAAATAAGCAGCAATGGCTTGAAAAAGGTACAATACATAATATCAGTATATACATTACTGGAAAACGTGCAAGTAGAACACAAAAACACAGTAGTTCAACTATTTAGTAATTATACAACCAAAATTACAAATGACTTCAGGTAGGACCGTTCTGAAAGTTCTACATTGCTTAGTATTTATCCAGTTATAGCAGGTTTATAAGCATGTAACTATCAGGCAAGGCATAGGGATTTGTATAAATAATATATCCAGTTTGGATAAATGATTCATGCCATTTGCTGTTCATTAATCTAATATGACAGGTTGAAAAACTGAACACTTGAGTTCTTACCCACCGATCTAAAGACGTTCACCGCAAAACATGATCTCCCAGGTTTTATCATATGTGTTGTGAGTATACAACTTCTGAGAACACTGAAACAAAAACCAACTACCTGTCTGGTGCTTTCCGATTCTCATTGGTTCACTAATTGATATTAGTTGCGATGTAAACTATTTTCATGCGTTATCACACATTTGGTTATATTTATTTGTGAATGCAAATTTGTTTTACTATTTTATCCCGAAGTGGGAAATTGTTTTTGTTAGTTTGAGAAGTATTGGATAGGTGATGATATTTTCTTTAATTCTTTAAATCATATTTCTAGATATTTTGCAATGTAAAAGCCGCCAAAACTAATAAAGGACCGTTTTTTAGTAAAGGTATATGGCAAAATGTATCAGAGTCTGTAATTGCTTATCGTGATGGGAAAACAGTCTGTTCAGATTGGTGATACACTTCCTAACGAAAAAAATAACTCATCCTCTGATCATACAGTTAAAAAGCGAGCAACAGCAGTCCTCGTAAATTGGCCTCGTTTAACAACACTACAACTGGCACTTATGCAACAGGCCTGGCTAATGCCTGTTTATGATCGGTTAGTTTTATTTTGAACCTACTGAAAATTAATAATTGAATTATTAGGTTTTTAGCTTGTTACTATAGGAAGATCTCTGGATTTTTTCTTTGATCTTAATATTTCTCAATAAAACAACTTAAACTGGTGTACTTGTTGCTTAAGATTCATCTGTTTCCTATGTGTGATCTCGTTTAATTATTTTCTTTGTAAGTTTGTGGAAAGTCAGCTTAGTTTAGAAATAGTTTTCTTCACTAAGTGACATCTGAATAAGCATTAGAAACTAGTGAGCGTTGGATAGAAGAGACCGCATTGTGGTCAGAACACAACATCGATTTTCGACTTGAATTGTGTGCAGGAATACAAACTTCATAATCATGACAAAAAAAATACAGAAACTCACAATTTAATCGCATAGTTCAGAGTATGTCGGATACACATTAATGTATACATGTTATTTTTTCAAATCTCGTGGATTTTGTTAACCAGTACAGGTTTATATACCCGGTTTCAAGTTGTGGTGTTTGCATATGAAGGTTTGTGACGTACTACTTGGTTGCTCGAACTAAATTGGTTGTGGTGGATTTAAAATTTTAATGGTTGTATACTGAGTGGCCTAGTCACCATTACTCTTGTTTTTCCCCTAGTTGGTCTTCCGCTGTTTTTTTTAAGTTGACAACTTAAATCGCTAAATAGCCTTGTCACATTCTACTTTGTTTTCGTTTCCTTGGTAGCGTAATCAGTTTTCAAACATAATGTCTGGATTGACATAATCATAGCATATATAACCCAAAAAGCCCATAGAAATCCTGGTTAGTTATTTGATCAAGCCACAAGCAACGTGAAACCTGGTACATATGTGCATCGGTTCAAGTTGCCACGCCATATCAGTGTAGCTAGATGAATTGTCAACTTAAAACAGTGTTCTTCATGGTTGTCCACCTTCCCTATTTTATTCAACCTCGTTATAGATATTCTTTTAGCGATAACGCTCTTGTCGTCTAACTTTTCAAGAATTGATCTCCTGAAAGATTCACTTGCTGACTTATAATGTACAAATGACAGTTCTGTTTGATGAAGACGCCTTGAACAACGATACAGTGTTGTTTAAAATGAGGTTCTCTCCACCTAAATGCAACTAGTTTGCGTTAACACTATCTACTAATAGGGGTGAATTAGTGTAGCTCGTCAATCACTTCACTTATTTTAGAAGTCTCATCAGCCCTGATGGATTATTGTCTGACGAAATCTCTGCACGAATTTAGAAAGTTCGATTGGCTTTTCCCAACTTGACCTATTTATGGCGTAGACAATATATCTGTCTGCCAAATAAATAACGAGTATACTGTACAGCACTTCACTCTGCTCTATTTTATGGCTGTGAAAAGTGGCCTTTAAAAATAGAGAATATTCATAGAAAAATAGTATTCATTCGTAGTTATCTTGAAAATATCACTCGCGTATATTGAGACCGCCGAGTAAGCAGTTTTTACGTTGGACTCAGAGTATTAGGTAAAGAGAACAAATCGGTTGATGAGGTTGTGAAGTTTTATTGACTGACATAGTTGGGACATGTCTTAATATAAGTTACTACCACCTACCTCGGCTGTTCATGATGACTGGTGTATGAGTATGTTTTGAGGTTTTACCAAAGTCAGGGGTCGATTTATGAATTCATTGACTGTTGGACCAAGCCTTGTAGATAGATGCAGACTACCTGGTTAGTATTCGCGTAATTATTATAATCGGTGGGTGGAGACGTTGGTTGATATCTCAGAACCGTTCACAGTGGTTTGAGTACATTCAATCTTTCTTCTCTTAGAATCTAAGTCCTGAAATCTTAAACCTCTTTTTCCTTTTTATACCTAATCGTTTAGCCCACTACTAATATTGTTATCAATCATTCTACTCTGAGATTTGTGTTGATTATTTTAGTTTGTTGTGGTAATTTAAAAAAGATGCACATATTTACTTGATTCTTCGTTTGCATATGACTATGAACAAGCGAGTTGGACTTTTCAATATATACTTCAAAGTGGCATTTATAGCAGTTTCAATGGTAGCAGAAAACCTTGGGCATAGATACTATCATTCGAGAAAAACAATAAAGTCGTGAATTAGAAAGTACCAGTTAATTTTAAAACTCGAAATCTAAGGTAAGACAAAGTGTGGATACCTCTGACTGGAATTAATTCTGATCCTGATGGGAGTCTGTCTGGTGATCGTAGTTTATGGTTAGAGACCTTGTATGGTTGTACGGTTTGATTTTCTTTACTCAAGTTGCTACTATTATTATCCCAACTTTGACTTTCACCGTGATAATTTCCTTATGTTATACTGCTGCTAAGTGTGTAGATCTCAAATAGTTCTATATTGATGATTGATAGGAATCCTCCTCCTAAGCGTCACATAGACTGTCTACTGTCATCCAACTGGATAGTGCTGTACTTTTTGGTCGATGAAACTTAATTTCCTTTATTTGCTGGAAAAAGAGCTGTTTAATTTTTTTGCTGTTAATTGTAATTTCAGTTACACCCTCGTTGTTCAGCTTTTTAATCTTCGATCTCGTACTCCAGAAGCAAAACTTCAAGCAAAGTTAGCTGAAATTGGATTACTTCGAGCTCGTATTCCAGCATTTTTTGAAACACCTAATATGATTAAATGCTTGGTTGATAGGTCAGATTTCGCTACAAAGGAACGTTTATTACAAATACTTAATGTAAGAGTTATTTATCAGTTTGTTTTAAAAAAACTTGTTTCGCAATAAGTTTTCTAGGGTTTTAAAGCTGTGTTTATTAGTCGAAGAAACTTTTTTCTTGTGTACTTTTTACTCTTACAATTAATAGTTAGTACGAAAATAATCAATGTAACAACAGGACTAATTTACTGTATAGCATTTGAATTTCTGCAGCAGGTGATCATATTTTTTTCTCTACTACTATTCATCTGAGTAGATAAAAAGAATATGTGTAGAATTACTGTCTAATTGTAGATACTGAACCGGTCAAGAAAGTATGTATTCTGAAGCAGAATTGTAACAGAGTAACACTTTATATCTGGTTCGTTTCTCAGTATTACTTTCTGTTGCGTAGCTTGCAGACCAGTCATGTGAAATAAATAGACTTTTTCCAGTTTATTTATATCTAGTCAAAGATTATTCAATTTGTTTAACCTATTTAAACTCTATTTGGAAAATGAATCTACAATCAACTATAAATGTTTAAAATTATGATTGATACAGTAAACCAATGAGACCTCGATTCAATGATAAGCCTACGCCGTTGGTCAATATCTGACGTCATTTTCTAAGGAATAAAATATGGCTTATATACATAGTTATTTCTCGATCTCGTTTGCTAATAAAACGCTTGCTTCTCACTCAAGTGCCGAGTCGGGGTTGCGAATAGGGAGCTTGTTTATCAGTTTCAGGATCGAAAACCTCGCAACACGATAACGATGTGGTCTTTCTTGGTGAGTTACACTAACCCGTTCGTTGGGGTTGTAAAAGTGAATAAATAAGAATATTGTTCGATAGATGATATCTAGTATCTGATAGATAACTGGTCACGAGGTTGAATTATTGTCGTAAGTTCCCCGAATGAACCCTTATCAAAAGAAGTGGAATTTTTAGTCAAGAGGATAAATCATTCTTCTCTAGTAAAATATTGTGCTTATCTACAGAATGTTGATTGCATGCCCAAACATGATTAAATGCCAGTTAACAAACAAGTGATTGTAGGTCACTTTTGTTTCGTCAGATATCTTATTTTCATTCAATTTAAAAAACAAATTTTTAATGGTTTTTCAGATTGCGAAAATCCTTTTCAATTTTACTTTTATTATAGCAAACAGAAGTTAGTCTTTTAAATCAATTGGAAAAAATTTCCAAACAACGTATTCATCATAGGCGTAATCATAGACGAGATATGGAGAAACATCATTTACCACTGGTTGCTGTTGTGGGATATACCAATGCTGGTGAGATATATAAGTTTAGATTTGTTTTCTTGGCGGATCCATCTCCAAGTGTCTATTTTCTCCAGTTCAGTAAACATAAAACAAATTATAACAAGATTGTTGAGTTTTATAAGCAAAGGTGTAGCTCATTGGGTAACAAACTCTTGTCAGTTATATCTAAACAGAAAAACCGACAAAAGAGAGCAAATTGAATATTATCCATATAGTAAACTTTACAGACTCCATGAGATGCTATGTTGGAAAGTGTGTCCGCCAATTTTGTCATCATCTAGATAAAGAACAAACAGGCTTCTTCAAAGTTGGTGTACCGCTTTAGATTAATCGTTACTCAGTGTATTTTCCATTCGTCTATTGGAACTGTAAATGATTAGCGGTCGACTGGTTATGCTTTTCTTATTCTTTTCATTCCGATTTTGTGAATCGGTGTATATTGTAAGACAATAAGTTTACTACGTAGTCTAAAGTAGTTTTAAATATGATCTATCGACTTGCATAAGTGCTGCTAAAAACTAAATTTTATTAAATCTATAATTCACTCTTATTTTTAGTGGTGTCTCTTAGATAATTTTTTTACTTGACTTTTGTCAATGAATTTTCCGAATAAGTGACTGTTGCTGACTTCGCTTTGGACTCAAGACATAGCATAGAAAAAAGCTCGTGGATAGCGGATCAATAGGAGCTACTTAGCTTGCGTTTGTCCAAGTTTAACTGTTCAGGTCAGACATATGATTGTTCAGTTGAGGAAGCTAAACCTTAGACGCAATAGTAGACGTGGGATAAAAATGACTGTACTCAGAATTCTGATTGCTGGATTTAGCATATTACATCAGTTAGCGTCTCAAGTCATAGCAATAAGTGGTAATATTTTTATTAGCTTCAGTAAAAGTTCCCATGTGATTGACTGACTGACTATGTTGATATACATTTTTATTTTTCCAGTGCTTACTACATTTTAAATCATGAAAATATATAACCGAATATTAACATTTGTTTAGATATGCAAAAATTATTCCCGCCTATCGTTTTCTAATCACAATACTATTATGATTTTTTTCAAAACAATCCAGCTACTCTTATTGCCTAGCATTCTTCGAACACCTTATTTCATTCAACAAAGTCCCCAAATCAAAACAAAGTTGAACGTAATTATATTCCAAATAAACAAGGTCGAATGAGAGGAAGAATCACAATAATAAAATGACACTTTATTTAAAATTTTATATGAGAAGATTCTAGTGTCTTCTCCAAGTATTCTCTAGCTCTGATTGGCCAAAAAACAACCCGTCAGCGTGCTCCAATAAAATCTTGCACAGAACATTCTTTAATCCAATTTATATCCCACCAATTGAATTTTATACTTTTACATGAATATTTCACTTCATTTTCATTCTTCCATAGGTAAAACAAGTCTTATACGCTATTTAAGCAAATCAGACAAACTTGCCTCATCCCCAGAAGTGTTCGCCACTTTGGATATCACACATCATCGAAGTCGGTTGCCTATACTTCCAAATAAAGTAGAAGAGAACAATATGACTTCTGATCAGTTGTTTTCTGAGAATGGCAGCGATGGTGGTTGCTCTAATAGTATAGGGTTGCCTGGGATACAAATGTTACTGTTGGATACAATAGGATTTATGTCTGATCTTCCAACTAATTTATTGGCTGCGTTTCGAGCTACTTTAGATGAATGTTTAGATGCAGTGAGTTTGTTGCGTGTCTGTACTTCTTTCATTACACAATCTCATGTCGTAACCAAATTACGGATTAGCTTGTTGTTTTCATTTGAACCACTATAATGGTATTCATATATCAACTTTAAATGATAAATGTTTTGCCTTGCATCCCGGAAACTACCCCCTTTTGAAAGGATGACACAAGCTTATATTTCAAATTCTTATGGGTTTTTCATCTGTTGTATTGTGCTAGCTGACAAAACTTATGATACGTACACATACACATTTATATCAATTAGGTAATTGTTGTCGTGTTTCGAAGATACTACTGTATGTTAGCGCTCACTAGACTTGCAGTATTTTTAAGAATGTAACTCATTGCCAAAATTCGGATTGATTGTTCTTACCTCCGCTTTTTAATTTGATGTTTGAAGTTTGTAAATCAAAAAATGTACAATGAAATCTACCTATTCGTAACTTTTGTTCTTCCTGTGTTACTACATTCACTTAACCTATGTTCGTTTTGTTGTTCATGCTATTATCCATCAATTTTAGGATCTAATTTTGCACATAGTTGATGTAAGTCAACCTGAATGGCAATTACAGGTGAATCATGTAGAGGAGCTGTTGTGCAATATTGGTGTTATAAAAAAGCCGACAAATTCTGGACACACAAACGATTCCAATGCATTTGAACCACCTCAAGTGTTAAAAATCGGTAACAAACTAGATCGAATGTAAGGAAAGTAAGAGGTCATTTTCTTGTTGACTTTTGTGAGAATGTGTAATATCTAAATTCCAGATTAATATAAGGGTATCATTAAAGTACAAGGTCAATTTATTTCTTGTTATATAACAGTACAATCTTGCCTAGAATATAAAGGTGTATACGATAAAGTACACTTTCTTATTACGTCAAAATGCTGTTGCTTTGGAATAAGGGAAACTTTTGTTTGAGATCCTGTAAGGTCTCATATTTATTCATAGACGTTTTGTCATCAGAATTCGTGACTTTATCAAAAGCGTATGAATATATGAATTGGCATGTAAATACCAAAAAAAAGGTAATTTGTATGTGTATCAGTATTAAATTTGCAGACATTTTAAAAAATATTTTCATCACCTGATAAGTGTATTATCTAAAGAACTGATAGTTGCTTGGAAGCTTATCCTGTCTGGAAAATGCATCAACCCTGTACAGGTTCTCTACTCGAACACTACTGGTCGAGTCAGAGCTTATTAGAAACTGCTATTAAAATTTTTAACTTCAAGTGGTGTTCGTCATGGTTGTCTACTTTCCCTATTTTTATTTATTTTTATCATAGATACTCTTCAGAGAAAACGCTCCCGTTTGATTTTTCAGTGGTTGATCACTTATCAGAAGACTCACTTTCCGACTTATTACTTGCAAATGACATAGTTCCGCTTGATAAAGACACTGAAAAATAGTCTTGCGATCAAATTGAGCAATAATGCAAGCATTTTTGTTATGTGATTCTCTCCCTTCTAAATACAAAGTGTTACTTCAAGACTGACCTGCATCAGCACCTGAGTTAATGATATGGATTGAAGTAGTAACGCGTATCGATCATTTCACTTATTTTCGGAGTTTCACCAGTCTTGATGGATTAGTGTCTGACAAAATCTCTACACGAATTCAGAAAGCTCGATTGGCCTTTCCCAACTTGACCTATTTATGGCGTAGACAAGATATCTGTCTGCCAACTAAATAACGTGTATGCTGTGCAGCCTTTCTCTCTGCTCTATTTTATATATGCGAAACAGCCATTAAGAATTGAAGATACTCGTAGGTTATTAGTATTTAATCATAGGTGTCCTGAAAGCATTTCTCGTGCATTTCAGTTCTACTGAATAAGCAGTGCCGAGGTTAAGCCTATGGTACTAGATAAAGATGGTAAATCGATTGATGGGGTGGTATATTGCAGTCATATCAGGTGGTTGAAACATCTATTTCATATAAACGACCACTACCTACCTCAACGGGTGGTCTGATCTAGGAGTAGGTTAAAAAAGAAAGGTGTGGTCAAAACAAGACTTGGTACCACCTATAAAGTCATTATTAATTGGATTGAGGGATGTTAATAGGTGCAAACTACCCGTTTGGGGTCTGTGTGACTATTTTAACCGGTGGTTAGAGACTTTAAATGACATGGTTCAGAATCGTTCGCGGCGGCTCAGGTGCATCGACTCTGTCTTCCCCCAGATCCTAAGTTTCTAAATTCCTGATAATGTTCTTTTTTCACCAATTTGTATCTTCTTGAAGCATATATTCAGTGCCTAATCTTTGTTGTTACCACTTCTACTACTCCAGGATTTGGCCTAGCAATTTCATCTCGCTGTGCTAATGAAGTATGGAAACATGATCCGGTGTACACATATGCTAGGTTCTACGTTGAATTTGACTTAAGTGATTGACTGCATCCGTCTCTGGCATATAAATAAATCATCATTCGTTGTGACATGAAATATCGGCTATCTTTTATGTGGAATTCACTCCGGAACTGTTGATGGAGGGCAGAATGTGTTAATTCCCCTAGAAATCACTTACCAATTATTTTGTTATTTTAGAGATTTGAATCTCAACTTTGCACACCAAGTCTCCCTACGGTAGTTATCCTTTAGTTTATCGTGTTTAAAGACTTTTTAACTGACTCTTAGCTCTTTAACCATAGCAGGTTTCGCCCTATTTTTAAGGTCATTCTCTATAATGTGGTTATCCGCTTGTATTGGTTGCTTAAATCAATCCTTTTTGTCTTCCTTGCAAGATGTTTTTGCAGTAGCTGTGGCCAGAAGGAAAATAGAGGCTGTAATATCCAGATATCAGAGTCAAAACTAACAGTTACTGACATTAGTTTAACGCACATTAGAAATCGTTTTGGTAAACACTTAGTTGACTAAAATTAATCACCATATATAATATCGTAGGAGTTAAGTAGCTGATACATATTTTACTATAAACATTGTATATTATGTACTTATTAGGTTACTTGTTTTTTGCATGGACTTTTTAGTGAATCAAATGATGTCTACACTGGATTTGATGCATTAATATCTGCTAAAACTGGGACAGGTATGAAAGAGTTGACTTCAAAAGTTCAACTAGCTTTAATGAAACGTCTTGGATGGTTTTCACGCACCTTGGATGTTCGCCAAGGTGGTCCTAGTTTTCAGTGAGTATTGGTAATCCTAATATAGTAGTTCTAACATCTGTTTCTAAATTAACTGTCAGATTTACAGAATTATGAAATCTCAGATAAGAAGAACATACAAATAATTTGTAGAAACATATTTGTCTGTTATTAGAGGTAAAAAGTGCTTAAAATACTTAAGAATCTTAGTTTCCCTATATATGCTTGCATAATAGTCATTCTTTTCTCAAATGATACTGGTCATTTGAAGTCGGAAATTCGGTTATGTGCATAAAGTTTAATCGGTAAGATTTTTCATAACCGGGTTGGTGGATGTGATTATTTAACTAACGTGAACGTTATCAGCGAAAATGTCGAAGATGTATATTGTGATTATTAGTCGGATTATAGCCAAAACCTGAATTGATACCTTGTTTTGTTGATACTACCTCTAGTTTTTCCTGCCTAAAGTCCACTCAAACTAATATACTACTTCGAGGTAGAAAGTTCCTCCACTTATCTAATAAGTGTCCTATTTAAGTATGTCTATAATCTAACATACATTTTTAACCCTGTACTTGACCTCAACATTGATCAATCAGTAGATCAGCTAATCAGGAGAGATGTATTATATACATCGGTAATCAACTTCTATTAACAAATCTCTCATTCCTACCTCTTAAAACAGATAAGATGTTTGACTCCTAGTGTTAGCCCTACGACTACCAAATGTTCTATCATCTCTTAGGTTACGATATAACAGGCTACAGTATGGCAGTGCGGAATGATACCTGTTTAAGAGGAACATTTAAGATGGGATTTTCTAAGCGGAAATCTTTTTGTGCTGCTCTTTATATGTTTAGATACAATGAAGAATCCTCAATTTAACTTGGACTTAATCTACTGGAACTGAGAATAAATCGGACTAGCTATATTTATTATCTTAACTGTTAGGTGATCAGATACTATTAATGCACAAGCATTTTAATCATTCTCATTTAATTCAGCGATTCGAAATTAGAAGTTTACAATTTACGCAAAAATAACATACGTAATATATGCAGTACAACACTGTGAAGCATTTGATGGTAGTTTCGATAGCGATTTTTTAAAATTGTATTTCTCTCTTTAATGTCAATTACTAACAAGTATGTAATTTCAATTAGTGGATTTTTATTTTGTTTTTATAGATGGATTTATTCTAATGCAATGGTCACAAGCGTGGATACTTCTCCTTCGAGTTCAGAAAGGCTTAGAATAACTGCAATATTCACTCCTGTCGGTTGGATTAAATTTTGCAGAACATTTAAAATGGCATCCTCTGAAAATGTTTCGTAATATTTCATATAGTGATATACTTCATGAATATCAAACACTGTATTTTTCTCCTTAAACTATGTCCTTTTACAAATTGTTTGACATGTAACATCGTTCTGTTTTCATAAATTATTTTTTAAGATTTGTTTTAACAAAAAGTATAAATGTCGACCACACTATTGTCTTCAGATTAAGGTGTACAGATTAAAACTAGACAATTATAGTACTGTATAGATTTTATTTTGAAATATTTACTTCTTAGTATTATGGACATTCTTATGTATAAAATTTAATCATATTCTTTATCAGTTATTTTAATTAAAGTACAAGTTGGACGTCCATGTGCGCATTGAAAAGGTATACGACATCTTGAAAGTTCAATTATAAGTTTCTCCATTTGCTTTCTGCTAAGTTTACTTCCGAAACGAATTGCTTGATGACAAGCTCGACTTTCTAAAAGGGGATGAATCGCTTGCCTGAAAAAGAAAGAAAAATTGTTTTATTTAAGTTGTAAATTACGTTAATTCTAACTGCACGAACGCACCAAAACCATGTAAAGATTTTTGTGCTTATACACTTACCATTTGCAGTATATTATTCAGCCTGTTACATCGTTTACATGCATGTCTATCACACAAACGGGGACTATCGATATTCATCTTGAATGGCTTCCTAAATTATTTATTTCGAATACCTACCTTCACCATATAAATGGCACCTATCGATTTTGTAACGTTTATAATCGTGTGTAACCACAATGATGAACTGACTGAGAAACATTCCTGCTCAGTAGGGACTTTCTCAACTTTATTATATTTCACCCTTTAGTTACTACAATTCGCAGAGCAATACGAACAAAAACCTTTTTTAGATGCTAACTAAAACTTTTTGTGGCTTGGTTTCGAGATGATTCCGTAGGCTTCGCCTACCAATCACCTTGATAACCGTTATTATATAAATCCCAACGGTGTTTGAATTCGGAAGGCAATAAGAAGCGGCAGCTACAGTTTATTAGCGGATAGCACAGAACCAAGTTACAAGCACATCGAGCGAATTGGAGCAGAAAGGCCAGTGTATTTGTGAGCGAATACAGATGTGAGTTTATAGTCATATCGAACCAAGGCAAGGTAAAGGTTATTAATGCTATTCGAATACATATATACATGGGGAAGAGAATGATTCATCGAGTAATATTTAAGTTAGGGAGAGATATGTGTGTACGTTGTCACATGTGATCAAGTATACACGTTTATACAGACATGATAGCGATCATAATAATACAAGTAAATATACGAATTCTTAATGTTCGAACAATATTGTATGTTAAGTAAGTTAATAAAAGGGCTCGACAAAAATTAGTCGTAGGAGTGTTCCTATAATATCATCTTTTGGTATCTGTAATTATTTTTTCTTTAGGTCCAACTTTACACATTTGGCGTACTCACTGTTACGAGTAGTTGTTGTTAGTACAGACCCATAACGTACATTAAATTGTTCAGAATTATTTAGACAAACACGCCAGTTACCACTTCTGGAGGAGCGTAGGCCACCCACCAGCACTCTCCATCCAACCCTGTCTTGGGAAATCCTTTCCAGTTGCTATTCATCCTTTTCATGTCTGCTTCCGACTCCCGACATAGCGTGTTCTTCGGTCTTCCTCTTTTCCGTTCCCCTTTGGATTTCAAGTTAGGGCTTGCCTCGATGCATTTTGGTGATTTCCGTAATGTATGTCTCCTATCCATTTCCAACGTCTTTTCCTGATTTTCTCTTCAACTGCAGCTAGTTCGTTCTCTCTCACAGTAGACTGTTGCTGATGGTATCCGGCTAACGGATATTGAGTATCTTGGGTGGAGAATTGTTTATAAATACTTGTGCCTTTTTGACGATGGTTGTAGTAGTTCTCTACGTTTCATTTCCGCACAGTAGGGCTGTCTTGAAGTTCGTATTGAAGATTGTGACTTTGACATTGGTTGACAGTTGTTTTGAGTTCTATATGCTCCTCAATTGTAGGAATGCGGCCGTTACCTTTTCGATCCTTACATTTACGTCTGCATCCGATCCTCGTTGTCCATCGATGATGCGGTACGCGGAAGACTCCACATCTTCCAGTGTTTCTTCATCAAGTGTGATTAGGTTGGTGTTCTCCGTGTTGTATCTGAGGCAAACTGCCAAAGTCAAATAAACTTTCACTAGAAAGTGAGAACTTGTTGGATAGTATAAGCGTGTTAGTTTTAAATGTCAACTAAACTTCTGTTTGTCACATGAATGGTGTGCATATGACCACTAGAGTTTGGATTGGCTAAACATTTTCGTACATGAATGGTTTAGTCACTTTTAATAAGGCATCCAGCGATAGTTATTTTAATTGAACTATGTTCTAGCTGCTCTCACACTTTATGCCGCTCTTGGATCAACAGACGACTTACATCATTAGTAAAAATCCCTGCTCTAGTACTACACAAATGAGGGATATTATTAAGAAAACAGAACAACCAAATCGTTCTTGATATCTTTGGTACCAAGACCTGCAAAGCTGCGGCAGTGTCTAACACCTATCTCATAAAACATGAAATGATCAATATAGTTTACATTATGTATCAGTTTTATACCAGTGATTAGCCAACAATTCAGTTAACAGTGGGATGGAACTATTGTGACGTATTATTAATAGTGACTTCAAAATAGGAGCGCATTTGGAAGATATTGAATCCATAGTTTTAAATTTTATAATCAGTTCTCAGAACTTTCGGATTCAGTATATAAATATATGGATTTTGATGGCCGACTTACACAGGGCCTCAGTTAAAGAATTACGGCTAACCCATATTTTAGAACAATAGCCGGCACATCTTTGGATGTCTGGAAGTAAGGATTGACTTTAGACCTTGAGTTTCGACGTTTCCTGGTTTTTATTTTCAAGTATAAGTTAATCTCACAGAAACGTTCGATATAATAAGTCACGAACCATTTTTACTTTTTTCATACGAGACTGATAATCCATATAGCCAATACAAAATACTTTAACATAATCGAAATAAAATCCGAATTCTAAATTTTACACAAGTTAGGCAGAACCATGGACTTCCCATCAACGTCTTGAAAGAAAATTTGATTATCGCAGCGATAATCCCTCTTACAGCTTACTAATTCAGTGACTTATTATACTTATATGCGGGGATGGACTTTCATCTCTAAATCCAAATTGTAGATGATTACACCTTATGTTGTTTTTAATCTCTACAGACATTGCTAATCATTTACTGGTTGAGTTTCTTGCTGTTTCCCTACCCTAGAATTAGTTCACGAGAACTAGAAGATACTGGTAACTTCTGTTAAGGATTGGTCTAAATAGATCGTACCATTGTATCCTTATCAGTTTGGCTACTACATTTGCCAGCGTCCTGAAAAAATAAAATGATTCAAGACAAGCTGTTTAATTTCATGCAATCACAATCTGCTAGCACCAGAATAAAGTACTTTGGGTACTAAATATTTCTCCAACAAATCTCTTTGAGAGAGGATTGGAGATATAGCTGAAGATAACAATCCATCTACTGAACTATTATTCATTAACTAGTAAAACACCCAGGTGGTTTAAGCAGGGTTGCACAGAAATCTAACGATATTATACAAGGTGTTATGTAAAAGGAAATTAACCGTAGTATGTAATTTTATGTGATCATTAGTAGCACAAAAATACAAGGTGGTAACAGTAGATTACAAAGATGGTCCTGAAAATGGTGCATGAAAATTGACTTCGGTAAGAGTTTACAAATTCAAGTCAGTTGCAGCAATAGTCTTTGATATAGTAGCAATAAACATCAGCACCACAAGTCCTGAAACGAACAAATTAGGGAGTAATTCCAGACCGTAGATTGCAAACAACAGAAAATTGATATGCAGCAGCTGTTAAAGGGTTTCATGTGTTAAAATTCTACTTGAGAACCATTGTAAAAACTTGACTAAAATATGTTTAATAATTTCACCGAGCCTGTTTAAAATATCACATGTAAGTTTGCTCAAGCCCCATCAAAATGAAAGTCTTGGATTTCGATAAATAAAAGATACTAGTTTGATAACCGTAACAAGAAATATTTTGTAGAAAGTGTTACTGCAACGCTTAGGAATTTTTCTTAACTTAATTTTGAAGTACAGGGTCACTTTGTGTTATTATTCGGTACCTTTGATAATGATTTTGGTGACAATAAGTTTTCTTATACTCTGATGACAGCCGTTGGTATATGAGAACATTGTCGGAAGTTTACGAAATTATGACTGGATGAATCTATATTGGGACTCCCAGTTTATCACAGAAGAGTCGATTGCTGAATACCAACAACCGTTTTGAAAAAGAAAACCCGATATTTACGGGGATATTGCAAAGTTTAACACAACAGCCGACTGAATTATAATACAATTAAGGACCTTTAGTATATAAAGTAAAAATACATATAACTTTCGGCGACATACATTATCTGGTGTATAATACTGACGTTTGATTCCTTCTGATTTAACAGTATAACCCGAATACAACTCGCGATGATTTTCCTAAGGAGTTTTTCTGACGAATGACTTTGAGGAATTACTCGAGGGATCATAGTAACGATAATAGACTGCTCCATGGAGTTACAATCAAGAATAGCTGAGAACCCGTACTTTAATAGCCAATATAACTTAACTGGTTCTTGGTTCACTAAATTAAAGATATCGGGAACCAATCGCCTTGATAGTTTTAAAGATATTTTCCTGGAAAATATTTTCAAAAGTTGGAGTTCACGTGTTGCTCTATTTGAAGACATTTCAAAATGATTCAAGCACTCCTTCTCAAAAAATTCAACAAGTATTCTCTCATGTGCAGCATGTTGATCAACTGCAATAATGTAGGAATGTTTATATCTGTATCCATGTGGTTTGGAGAATGGTTCTTCAAACAGTTGATAATGACTACTTTTAGCATTAGCAATCAGCAGGATAAACTTTTCATCAAACTGACCCACCACTCTAGCTTCTCTTAGATTATC